GCTATGTGACTTGTACATGACTTGTACCAATTAATAGGGTTTTTTCAAAATGTATATGATATTCTGAAAAGTCATTGCATATCCACTTTGAAATCTCTTTACCAACCACAAAGATGGGAATGTGTAATCTTCTCTAACTCTGCAGAATGGCAAGAGTTGTTCAAGCATGGGTCCTCTTCATGTGTGTTATGCCAACAGGAGAGACGGTTTGTGTGTATGCACACAGACATGAACAAATGTGTGTGTGTAACTCAAGTTCTGAGCTTTGTTTGTTATTATTAATTTTATTCAAATTCAACAAACTATCAACTAATGCTAATCAAAATGCATCAAATATTAGACTTCCACTGTGTTTCTGTCTGAATATTTTGTGGATCATATTTTACAGCTCACCTCTTTTGTGTAAACTGACCTAAACCAACCTGTATTTAACTCCCTTGCTTTTCTGCTTATTCAGTGCTAGGCAAACCATTCTTGATTAAGTGCTCCTTTGCTTTTCAACCTCACTGATAGCCTATTTTAGCAATGAAAATATTTTTTCCGATGCTACTATTTTTTAATTCTTATTTTTCTAACTTAGTTTTTCCTATCTAAAGAAAAATCAACTGATTATATTTAACAGACACTGTCATAAAATTGCAGTGCCATTTTATTTGGCATTAGTAGCTGATGTATACAACAATCTCTCTCCACAATTTGTTTTTCTCACGCATTTTCCAAACAAAGTTTTAGTTTCAAAAAGGGAAAAAGTTAGAAGCTCACACAATAATTTCTTTGAGAGTCTGGCTTGATTCTATTCATTTTAAAGAAGGAAATCTCTCTTTGTATATACTTTCAGAGCAGCTGGCCACTTGACTGTGGCCTCTGGACCCTATCATGATATAAATATTAATTCAAAATACTAATGAACTCTGAAGAAAAGGGGAGATACATCAGCTCATGTTTATACTGTTACTGTCTGTTTCAGAAGATAAATCCAACACAAAGCCTGTACACTTAGGGTGACATTTCTTTGCCATAGCTTTCTCCTTGAGTACCTTGGAATTCTTTCCTTGATAATAGGCTTTTCTTTTACACTGCTTTTTTTTAGCCATTATCTGTGAAAGAGTTGATACTGCTATCTTAATGTCTCTATGCACATTTTATTTCTGAATGATATATTACTTTAAGTTTTTTCAGTAATAATTTCCATTTGGATGCAAAACATTAGCTAGATTTTCTGTGTCTCACTAACCTGGGATCTTGAAAACCATAGAATTTATAATCTCTAATGTCACCTAAAACGTGACAATGCACAGCTTTGATTGAGGATTCAATACAATTCTCACAAGTTATTCACAGCTACAATTACTTGCCCCTGCAAATATTTGCATTAAAAAAGTATTCCATGTATACATTACATAACCTTTCCAATTATAAGATTATTCCAGAATCTATGACAAAAATGGACTTCAAGTGAAGAATATCAAGAGCCATTATCTAGAAATTATTTCAGAAAAATGTTTTCAATCCAGTGGAGTGTGTGAGTATATGCACACATACAAGAGTCAATACTTCCAGAGAATGAGAATTGGCAAAATCATGAACTTGGACTCAGTCACTCTTAGTGAACTGTAATAAGATGAAAACCTCATACTAAGCCTGAAACAGTTGTCTCGGGTTTATCAAAAGTTACTTGAGGAAGACATGTGTATGGGGTCAGGCTGGGATGGAATTAACTTTCCCCATGTCATTGCTCAGTGCTGTGCTTTGTGTTTTCAGCTGAAAAGATGTTGATAATACACCAGTGCTCAGTGACTGCTGAGCAGTGCTGCACAGCACCAAGACTGTCTTTCCAACACTCCCCTCTCACCAGTAGGGCAGGGGTGGTCAAGATCTCAGGAGGGGATAGAACCAGGACAGGTGACCCAAGCTGAGCAAAGGGATATTCAGCAATAAGAGCTGAGAGAAAGGAGGCAGTGAGGGTAGGGGGTGGGCTTTCTTATTAAGGTGTTTGTCATCAGGAGCACCAGCTACATGCACTCAAGTCCTACTTCCCTGGAAGTGTTTGGCCCTCACCTGCTGATGGGAAGTAGAGAATAAATCTTTTGTTTCCCTTTGCTTCTGCATGCAACCTTTGTTTTTCTTCATTAAACTGCCTACATGTCAACACAAGTCTTTAACCTTAATTTCTTCCGTTGTATGTCTGAGAAGGGAGAGTGAGAAAGCATTTTAATGGTCACCTTTGTAGCCAGCTAAGATCAGCCCTCCTCAATACATATCCTAAGAGAATGATTCATACTTGTCTTAGAGCATGGTATGGGGATGCCAAGCCTAATTTTAACCACACAGAATGAGTGGAAATGATCCCTTTGTAATTATCTTCAGGTCTTTCCACACTTTGGTGATTACAGACTGAATGTGTGATTACAGTACCTAATAGTCTGGAAAAGGACATGCTGACACAGGTGCTTTAGTTTAACTCCTTGAGGTGCACAGGTTAATTTCTACTTCAATTCACATTGAAATTAAAAGGAGTAGCACACTAAATGCATCTGAAGTACTAGAACTGGTCAGTCTCCTGGACCTTCTGCTAATCAGTTGGATACACAACCTTGGTAAAGTTTGCATTTTGCCAATGCGTCTAAAAATGGATTAAATAAAATTACTTCTATTTGGATATAGCTGAATGTTCAAATCTTAAATTGAGGACAGCAACAGAAAATGCTATTTGAGTTTTTTCTCCACTATTTCAGAAGTCTAAAGACATGAATCAGAGCTCTCTAAAGAGAAATTCCAGTTTTAAAGTGTTACTGCACACAGGCTAGATCTGTTGAAGGCCTGCTGTTTGTCTGGGTCTCTGTGGTATTGCTCATCATGTAAACTATGCATAATAAAAACTAACCCGTGACCTTGAATAAATATTGAATTTTACACATAGAGCCACTTGTGTTGTTCACATCATTATGATGACAAGATTTTAAGCAGTAAAATCATAACCACAATCAATAAATCAAATGTATTCTGCTTAAAACTTGGGTGACATCAGTAATATCAGTAATAATAAAAAAATTATTATATTACTTGTTTATATTAAAATATAACTTGGAAGACTTACATGCCCTATCAAATAGTATACTGACATGTCTATAAAATTTGCTTGATTCCTACAGCACTGACCACTCATATCTCCTGGGATGTGGGGAACTATGAATGCTTAGGATTCTCTTGGGTGGTAAATGGTATTAGGTATGTAAGCAAAAAAATGATTTTGGCTAAACATCTATGGAAAAAAGGCTCTCACAGGGAGGTCCATCCATATGCAAAACAAAATTCTTTTCAACTGCTGTGATGGATGAACTTCACCTGATGAATTTTAAAAAGACTGTCTGAAGAGCTCAGTAATGGAAGATAATCTTACACTGGAAAAGAAGCTTACCAGTTTACCCCGACTTTGCTTATTCCATGCCTTCTAAAAAAACCAATCTGTGTTGGGATCTCTTGTTGGGGGCAACATCAGTCATCCTGAATTTCCTTTCAGCTGAGGAAGAACACCCATCTTAACCCATTGCTTTATCTCTATCCTTCACTCAGAAACTTGGAAAGGGACACCCCATGTTTTGGTGTTATAGGACCTCACAGAGAGAGCACAGTACAGGAGAATCCCACCTACCATTAACTGCATTCCTAAGAGATCTGTTGTTTGAATGAGAAAAACTCAGTGATGAGGCACATTCAAAATAACTTCTCCCATTTCTGGGAAGTCGTTTCTGTAGGAATGATAAAGACTTCACTTCTAAGAGCAAAGAGGGACAGAAACTGTGGTATATTAATCAATGTGAAATAGAGCACAGCAACTAAAATTGATAGTGACTTTATCAGGAAAGTGAGCTCAAAGGAAAGGGAATGAGTGGCACAAGGGAAAGGTAAGGAAACGCCAAAGCAAGGTAAGTTCCTTACAGCAAAGTTCTTCTCTTAGAGTGAAAATTTATTTCCTATAAATTATAGGTTCTGATCTTAGTGCTAACTTTAAGATTATTTTTATCTCTTCAGTTCTCCTGTTATATGAAATGTAAATTATCTCTGTCCTTTGATTTCAAAGCTGTTATCCAATTTCTACCTCACATTGATGAAAGAATAGCTCCTGTCCCTCCTGCTGTAATCACTAATCTTTCCAAGGATTGTATTTTCATGAATTATGCATTGTTATGTGAAAAACTACTAAAACATTATGTATAAAAATGAAAATACCATATTATTTAAATTTATATTTGTTACTCAACTTCTATCACACAAAATCCTGAGTCACAGAGAGCTTATATTACCTTCAGGGAAGTTGTGCCAATGTCTAATCAGCAGGGTGAAAAAAACCTAACATAGCCTTTTAGTAACTGTAAAGAAATAAAGGATTGTAAAAGAGGAAGGAAGCATTTAAGTTAACAAAGTGGAGTTCCTTGCTTCTACAGGCAACATATCTTACGGGCTCATACTCTATCAGAATTTCAACAGTTTTTTCCCAGTAATTTTTCTTAGTTTCTTGTGTTTAAATTCAAATGTTTTCCCTTTCTTTTTTGTTCCTTCTGCCACTTTCCTAACAGCAAGAGAAAACATTAGCATTTGTAGCCTGACACACTTGTAGTGAACATAAACCTAAGGAAACACATTTTACAACCTCATTTAATGGGAAATGCTGGAAATCCTGTCTCAACTGGCTCTGTGCATCACCCAGACAAGTAAATGACTATGATGATTTCCAACAGAATTTGTGGAATTGCATGGAGACCTGAGGAAAACATGATACCTTTCACCTACTCTTAATGATTACCTCAAAAAACCCCAAAACAAATAGAATATATTTTGGCTGTGTTTATAGGTTAGGGAAAAAGTAAATTAACTGCAAAGGCAATTGAAACCACATAACTAGATTTGTCAGATAAGTATTTTCATGGCAAAGAAGAACTGATCAGTAGCTACTGCATTTATGCACTTCAGAAAGACAGAATAAATTAAGTTCTAATTACCTCTACTTGGTCAGACTGCTTGTTTTCATCATAGGCAAATGGATAAGGCAGCTCTCCAAGTGGTATGTCATAGAACTCAGAATCATAAATTATTGCATCACTGATAGGGGCAGCTCCAACAGACACAAAGATAAAAAATCCCAGAAAAATATTTGCAAAGGTCTGCATTCTGTTTTCTTTTCTGAAAGAGAAGAAAATGGACAGACTATAGGTACTCTAGTACTGACAAGGAATCAATGACAATTTAGTGTTACAAATACAGTACTTATATATATAAAATCCACAATATTTCTGATGAATAATTCACATTTATTTATGGTGACTCAGTACTTTAATCTGGTTTTCTTCATTAAGAGTCCCTGGAGCTGAGAATTCTTCATACTGCTTTGGCCATACTCACATAATTTAGAAAAGACTTATGGGATTTTATTGGTGTAAAAATAAACATCTAAATTTTACCCTTTCATCTAACTTCACCTATTTTCATTGCATTTAGATATGAACTTTTGAGAAACTAGAGAAAAGGTAAATTATTATATTACTCATTTATATAATCTTTTGGAATGTAATATTATATCTCTTCTCCATCATAAAAAAAACTGAACAGAATCAAACAAACAAAACCACCAAACTGTTAGAAGACATTAGAAACTCTGTCATCTCTGGATAAGCATAATCAAAACACTTTTTACCCGTTAGTTGTTTTGTCAGAACATAATTTTACTTGGTGTAGCACATCTGGACCATACTTTTGCAAAGTTCTCGGGAGCAAAATAAAAAGTAATGTAAAAAATAAAAAGCAATATGTGTCTTCCCTCACCCTGAAGACACTAGTGCCAGTATTCTGAATTCCTCCATTATTCAATCAACACCTTTTATAAAGTAGTGTGAAATTGTGGTGTGGTGTAGTCACCTGTTCTCTTTGGAAAACAGAATTGTAAAACTGAATTATCACCCATTTAAAGTTCTCTAAAATTGAATTATCACCTATTTAAAGTACCAGAATTTTGTAAAATCGTAGAAGATTCATGCTAGGCTTGAATAATAATGTTTATGTATTCCCTTTTCCTTGTAAATGATGCATTCACTGTTATGAGATAAGATGCCTGACACAAGGCTGGGTTCAGTGTTCTTTACTTACATCTTTATTTACCTACAGCTGACATTAATTTCACCAAAGGCGCAGTGATGATGAGCAATGCATAAGTCGATTAAATTGTATTCCTTATGTGATGCCACGATAAATACTCTTATATTTAATTTCAAAATTGTAGCTACTTATAATAAAGTACAAGAAATATATGAGACTTTTTTTTTAATGTATGTACTTGGCAGCAAGCTGAATTTTAGATTCATGAAAAGAGGTCTTTATAAAGTTGGTTTAGGCATGAGGATATGAAATTCCTCTGGGGATGGTCAGTAACACAAGGCGTTCATTTTTCTCTCATATTCTTTATTCAGAAAGACTTCAGCTGCTGCTGGAAGAAGCTAGAGTCACTGGGTCTTCTCTTTGAGAAAGCTTAGATGAATTTTACCTTTCAGTATTAGCTTCCAATATTACTAAAAGTATTCTGCTTTATTTAAGAAAATTAAATAAAGTAAAAAATAGAAACTCAATCAGTCTCTGAAATAAGCAAGTATGCTATAATTAACGGGCTTTTGTCAGTCTTTATGTTTTCTGCTGACTATTTTTGACAGAATTGGTTTTGGTCTTGTTTTTCCTTTCCATGTCATTTATCTCAGGTGTTTCATCTATAGAGGGTGTTATCAACCCAAAATGTAGTACTAAAATATATGGTGTATATATTGCTGTAATTTTGGTGTAATAGTGTAATTTTTCCTCTGAATAAACAATTCTTAAATAAAAAATTGTTCACTATGCAAAATTGTTTTCACATCACAACTCCTAAAAATAAAAGATTTTTAAAAGGTATAAGGCTTGATAAGTATCATTTTTTGCATATATAGAGACAAAACCAGCAAATATCTATCAAAAAAATAATGTTTACCTGTGGCTATAGTATCTACACTAATTTGCAAGGTTTGCATGTCTCTATTTCCCTTTCATGTAATATATTGGAATGCACTGTAGAAATATTGGCATCCGCATTAGCTGTAAGATCAAATGTTTTGATGAAGATTATGTACACCTCTCACAGGAAGGAACTAAGACATATCCAGGGGAAAATAAATAGTCTTCACATTTTGCAAGCCATGAATCTGTATTAAGCATGATAAAATAAAACAACTAGTAGTATTTCCAGCGATAAAAATTCAACTAAGAGAGAAGTGCCAAAACTTACCTTTAGCTTCCACTGTCTCAAATGGGATGGAGTTACTCAGAATGCAGAGCCAGTGCTATTAGACCCTGACCAATGGCAGTGGCATTCTGCAGCTGTGGGAGGTAGCACAGCTTCTGTCCTCAGCTGAAGACCTCAGCCCAGGGAGTTTCTCAGACTTCAAACACCTTTAATATATGACTTTGCTGAACTGAATTTTTGGAATGTCAAACAAAGATTTGTTGTAAGGAAATGGCATCAGTTTCACATGACAGTTTTTTACCCCTTTCTCTCAAATTTCTTGCTACTCCTACCAATAGGGCAATAACACTCTCAGTTGTACTCTGAAACAATTTTTTTGTATTACTTGATAACCTATGAATATAAATTTGTCAGTGTCCAAAATCATGGCTTAAGCAAATTGGGTTATATATTAATATTTTCCCTATATGTAACATCTCTATATTGTGACTTATTATACATGATAACATTTAATGAATTTCCGTGTATGGCAGGTATTATCTGGTATGTATTCAGAAGTACTTCCGCCCCCCTTTACTTTTCTTTAAGTACTTATGAAGCAGTGCTCATAGAATATACTCTTTCCAGTGTTTTCGTTCCATGAGGAAATGCCACTTTCTTAATAGATATGAACCTCTATCATAAGTTGCAAATGATGGGCATACACTCTAGTATGGGCATGCACTTCTATTACACCAGAAAAAAGTTTCACTATATTAGCATGTCTAGCTATCTCTTTTCCTAATTGATAGTGTTTTCTTTATTATCCATTCCTTCTTAAATCTGTACTTTTATATGATCAGTATTTGTACAACATCACGTCTTCCTCTGAATATTTTAATATTTTTCCCAACTCTTCAATAAAATATGCCTTCTATTACTATCAACATCCAATATTAACAGCAGACCTCTCCTGCATCTCTGGAGGGATGTAAGATTCATGTATAAGGCTCCAATGTGCTAAGGAAAATTTATTCCCTTTGCTTTATGTAACTTCCACAGCACATTTTTTTTTTTCCAATATGGCCATCCTAGTGGCCAAAATTTGCAGGAGGCACTGAAAGCACATCAAGAATTTTGAGCCACGTGCCTTGTGGCAAGAATCCAAGATGTTTGGCCAATAGGTCAAAGGGTAGAAGAGCAATAGCTCTGTTAGCAGATAGTAGAGGTTAGGGTGCTGTGGGACATGCCAAATAGCTCAAGCTATCATGTGCTATTTTGGCAATTCAGTCAAGTCTACAGTGGCTTTTAGTAATATGACCACCTTTGGATGACAGATTTCTTTCTTAGGAAGGTTTAGCATGAATTGCTTCTGTGAAAGGTCTTGAATCTTTAAATCAGCTGTTTTTAATTTGTTTTTTCACTGTCTTACCTGTTGCAAAAGCATCTTCTTCCATGAAGAATCAGGACAGTAAGTACAGTGAAAACACTGTTGCTCTTCTCTTTCTTCACATCAGTAGCCTCAGTTTATTCATTAATTTAGTGATCTAGTTGCTTGCAATGCCTGTGTATGCTCCTTCCCAACAGCTAAGCAAACATCTGTACCTGCTGCAGCAAAAATTTGTCATTCACCTTGTTAATGCTACTGATAATTTTTATGCTGCTCCATTTCCAAGTAGTTAACATTATTTCACTTTTCAGTATAGTATTTTCTGTTGTACTTGGTAATTTAAGATTTATTCTGCTAAATCCTCACTTCCAATGTATCCCTTTCATTTACAAAACAAATTCTCTCTAGGCAGGTCAAATATTCGCTGCTTTCCCTTGTGCAAAATGTCCCAATTTTTTATTTTTTGTTGAAGGAAAATTCTTATCTGTGAGGAGTTATTCATATAATTATTCATGTTTATCATCATTCTTACACAACTAAATATATTTAGGTATACTGAGACCCAGGGCCAGAAACCTTTGTATCTGTAGGTTTGCTTTTTTTTTTTTTTTTTATAATACCAATGAAGTTCAAACCACTTCGTGTCTGGATCTTAACCTTGATTTTAGTGGTATACTATATTCCTGTGAGAATACAATATGCTTTGCTGGCCTTGTTTTCAGAAACACTAAGCAAGTAAAATTAATTGAAGGCAAATGTTAACTTACAAATATTGGATTTCTATTTTTTGTTAGATCTAGGAAAACTAGCTCTAGGAAATCTGAAAACTAGGAAATCTGAAAAAGAATATATTTTATATACAAGCTTACAAGAATGATGGTTTCTAAGCACACAAATAAGAAAACTTTTGTTTGTTTTGGTTTATGCTTTAAAGAGCAAGAATTTGGAGATTGAGTGGTGCATCTCTAGGGGACATGCCTTTGTTGATGCCAAAATTAATGTTTGTCAATTTGTTTCAGCTTGGATGACAGAAGTCCTGACACTAGCAATCCTAGACCAGCTAGAAACCCAAGAGACCCAACAAAGAAAAGAAAAAAAAAAGATAAAAGAAAAAAAAAGACTACTTAGAGGTCTTGTGGCATTGCTGAGCAAAACCCAAAGCTTAAACAGCTCACAGAAAATTTGTGCTTGAGTTAGAAACTGATTCAGATCACTGCTTGAATTTTCTGAATCCTGTTATCACAGAAGATAATGAAATTCCTGAGACTGACAAAAGGACATTTGAGAGTGAGCTTTTCATATCCCCTAATTAGTCCCTTCAGTGACACTTGGGCTTTTTCCAGATCCTCTGGCCTTGTGCAGTCTAAGTTACTGTCTTGTGAACTTCCTCAGCTGTCTTTAAATCTTGCTGTTTGAGTTAGTTGGGCTTGATTAAAAGCTCACTTAAGTTAATAGCGAGTTCCATCACATTCAGTGGTTTTTGGGGCACTGCTTAAACTGGAAGTATACCCAGCTGTGACCATTGCCTAACACAGGGCAGAATGCAT